GGGAGGCGGGGGCGGGGCGACACCCGCGGGGCTGCCAAGGGCGTCCCGGTAACTAATAACAATTCCATGGTCAACATCAGCAAAAACGGAGCGCGAGCAACCACGCCAGCCTATCGGCGCGCGCACCACCGGCCTCTCTCCATCACCATCAATAGCTAGCTGCTCTAAGCTCCTCGTGTATCTGTACAGTTTGTGATAACAGGTTTGTACATTTACACGAACGCCGCCGTCAGTCGTGTCATGCCAACCTTGTGAACTAGTATCTATGATGGACGTGTGTGTGCGCAATGTGGTGCATTGCAAACTGCTGAACTATGCAACATGATTAATGAAAATACTGGTATTCTGAGTCTGTAGACCTGCAATTAGTGTGGTATAATTCATTTGCATCATTGAATACCACCGTTGATTTGATAATAATAACAATACGACTACCAGATAAGCTACCTATACACGCTAAATGTATGTGTAGTTTTCGGTGCAAACGTTCGCGTTTGCACAAAGTTGTGCGTACACGGCAAAAACGTCAGCTTGGTTTTCAAGCTGAGAATACCAGTTTTCAAGCAAATCGGGTAAAAACAAGCAACCCTCATTTGGCTGCTTGAAAACCAGTACGTTTTCCAAGCAGCTCTGCTTGAAATCCTCCAATGCGGCTTGTAATTCAAGACGGTCGGTCCGCCTGCTTGGATTTCGAGACGGCGGCTTGAAAAACAAGCAGAGCTGCTTGGATCTGGTCCCCTCTGCTTGGAATTCAAGCTGCGTCGCTTACCCGCCACGATTTGAACCGACGCAGTTTCGCACTCGTGTACGCTGAGTAGTGGCACAGTGGCGCGCTCTGTGTTTTACCCCAAACTACACACTACTCTTGGAAGTGGATTTGATATGACAGTTTCTGGCAACTTCCTTAAATTTAATTTCTAATTTTTTTCCCACTGTGCTCTCCTCGTTGTTTTTACTATCTAGTGAGTGAGGGTGAGCTCACTAACTGTGGATGGCAGCAAAGCCGTTGTATTTCCAACGTAATTTACTTAACTGAGATTGGGTTTAAAATTTTGTTCTGAATATTAGGGAAATGAGTATACCTTTACCATCAGTCCACTGTCACTTTTACGAGACAAAGGCAACAATGTTGGAGGGAAAGTTAATAACTCATTTGCTGGAACAAGAAAGACATGAATAAGAGAGATGCAGGGTCAATTGATTAGTGATATGTTTTATTATCAATTTGCATGTATGAATAATCTAATCTAATGGATGGAGCACTAAAATTCCTTATCAACATGATGGTATGCACAGTTGTGTACAGATTATACTAGCTATGTGTACGCCAGACCACGTCTCGCGTAACAGGCTTCGCGATATTTCACGAAACACTGTTCCGCTGCGACGCGCCTGGCGCACATATAGCTAGGCCTGCGGCGCTGACACCCAAGACAGGGTAATAGAAGTGTATATACAAGTTTTCGAAATGAAGTCTTTTTAATGATTTACCGACCATTTGATCATTTTCGGCTCATTTTTGTCAAGAAATGCCCCCTAGCACCTGAACGGTACAAGATAGAGCCAAACGGACGAAATTTTCGCCCGAATGACTCTACTTTGACAAGTTACCCCCTAGGAACCCATAAAAAAAATGGATAAAAAACATTTTGCGACCTGTAGTTTTTGATTTTTTTAAAAGCCAATTTTTGAGCTACAATGCTCATCTTCGAACTCGATCTGTCTTTTTTTGGTACAAAACGACCCTTAAATTCCCAGATCGCTATCTCAATTCCTTCTCGAGTTATCGCGCGGACAGACAGACAAACAGACAAACAGACAAACAGACAAACAGACAAACAGAATGAAACTTTTCGGGTCAGTGGAGTTATGGGCTTCGCTAATCGCTCAGCCAATCACAGCAAATAAATGTCTCGTAAAGGTGACAGTGGACTGATGGTAAAAGTATACTCATTTTCCTAATATTCAGAACCAAATTTAAGACCCAATCTCAGTTAAGTAAATTACGTTGGAAATCCTGTGAGAAACTTGATTAAATTCTTATGGTTTGGATACCAAACTTTTGGCTAAAACATAATTACACTAAACATACATAAACATATTTAGTTGTGACATTCGCATCACAAAGTTACCCCACACATTCTGAACTGCTTTGAGTAGCAAACAGAAAGAGAATGGTCCAAAAATATGAGGTGATTTAACATAGTTATACCACTCTATAACCAACGGCTTTGCTGCCATTCACAGTCAGCAAGCTTACCCTCACTAGATAGTAAAAACAACGAGGAGAGCACAGTGGGAAAAAATTTAGATATTAAATTTAAGGAAGTTGCCAGAAACTGTCATATCAAATCCACCTCCAAGAGTAGTGTGAAGTTTAGCGTAAAACACAGAGCGCGCCACTGTTCCACTACTCAGCGTACACGAGTGCGAAACTGCGTCGGTTCAAATCGTGGCGGGTCAGCGACGCATCTTGAATTTCAAGCAGAGGGAACCAGATCCAAGCAGCTCTGCTTGTTTTTCAAGCCGCCGTCTCGAAATCCAAGCAGGCGGACCGACCGTCTTGAATTACAAGCCGCATTGGAGGATTTCAAGCAGAGCTGCTTGGAAAACGTACTGGTTTTCAAGCAGCCAAATGAGGGTTGCTTGTTTTTACCCGATTTGCTTGAAAACTGGTATTCTCAGCTTGAAAACCAAGCTGACGTTTTTGCCGTGTACATTTCGATTCGCATGAATTTGTGCGCAAATATGTACGAATTTGTGTACATGAATGCATAAAAACATGCACTCCTACTCAAAAATTTGTGCAAATGAAACGTACGCACAACTTTGTTCAAATAAAACCCACAAATCCGTTGTGTGTATTGCGAATTTATCAAATGGTTCGAGTACAGAAGTACCACGTACTCCTCTCTTTCTCGAGGCTGTACTGATGATGGTCCCGGGAGGCCATGTCCCCCCGCACTCGCGCCGATAGTTGGATTGCGCTGATGCAAATCAAACTTCCCTCTCTTGCAGGGCGCGGCTGGCGGAAGGGGGCTGGGGGGTGGCGCTGCACGACCGGGGCCCCGCGGCAAGGGCAGTTCGCTTTATTTCCGACGACGTGAGACGAAAGCGAAAGAGGGACGCGCGTGAGGGAGAAAGAGAGAGAGTGAGATGGATTACGGTGGGGGGAAGAGAGAGGGACAGCAGGGGGAAGAACGGGCACAAAGAGAGAGGGGGGGGGGCGAACGTAACGGAATGCGAGCCTGATCGCCACCTGCCGACACTCGTAAACTGGCGCGTTAAATATTGCCGCTCGCTCAGCAGAGGAAGGAAGCGATGAAGTGGCGCACCCCCTCCCCCCCCCTCCCCTCCACCGGCCCCGCCTGGCCAGGTCGCGGCGTGGCGCGCCGGCCCCTCCTGAAACTCGAATGCTCGCGTTCGCTACCAAGAACAGCAATGCGAGCAGGTTTGGGGCTACTCTATGTTGCATGCATGCCGGAATTTTCGCAGTTCTTTTTGAATACTAAAATTAGTGGCGCGTATATTTCATTTTTTTGTGTCGTTGAATTCCTGAAAGAGGCCACAAATTAGCAGGAATACCTACAGTTTCCATGGGGGAGGCAACCGATTGGCATTCCAAAAGGAATTTTAAAATTTGGCGTTCGAACAGGAATGAAACAATCGTGTCATGTAAATAGGTGACCTCTCAGATTTTCGAAATTAATTTTTTTGTCTGCAGAAGCAAGTGGAAATAAGTAGTCGCGCGAATTGGGACCCGTCCTGGACGAGGAGAAATGGGCCGTCCTGATGGAGCTGTCTAGAGAGCCATTGTCGACCGGGATGCGCGCTATGAATCTCCCTTCGACGCGCCCCGCGCACCCGCGCACACCTCCCCCGCCTACAGATACACTACGACAAAAAACGAAGGAATTGTGGTAAGAGGACGGCCTGCAGTGGTCGACTCTGGTTTCCCTTGCGTTTCAGTTTTTTCCCTATACTGAGCGGTGCTTTCAGTGTGCGCGCGCGAGAGAGAGAAGGCGCTAGGCGGAGTGAAATTGCGATCTGACCTGCTCGTATATAATCCCTTGCCGTTATTCCTCCCGCGAGCCTCCTCCTCCCACCTTCTTCTCCTTCTCCCCCCTCCCCGTCCCCTCCTCCTCCTCCTCTTCCTCCTTCTGCTCATTTCTGCCGGTTGCAGAGCAAGTTGTGATAAAGTACTGCGGGTGCGTGCGGAGATGATTTTATATTTTCCTATCCCTTCGCCCTCAAAAATAATAATGGAGGAAAAAATCGAAGTGAGCATGTGTGAGCGGGCGAGGAACGGTGGAGCGCGGTGGTGAGGGGGTATCAGAGGGGAGGGGAGGGATGCCGCCGGGCCCTCCCGCCCTCTGCCGCACCACTCCATAGCGCCGAGTGAAGCGTGATTTCTCCGTGACGGACGAGCATGTGAATGCATTCACCATACCGTCACTCGCTTTGGTTATATGCACCCCGTCTGCCAAAGAAAGAAAGAGAGAGAGAGAGGACGGGGATGGGGGAGAGAAAAGCTAGAGGGACAAAATTCGCCCTTTAAAAGTTATAAGCCGTTTTTTTAAAGGAGGTTGTGGTAAGGGGTTTAAGGGAGAACACAGCATTTTCTCTGTCCTCGTCCTCGTGGCTGTCGGCAGCATGTGCGTGCTCTGACAACCCTCATATTAGTTTATCACTTTCACATGTATTTTTTTTAACCGCGTTCTCTCATTTTCTGCTTTTACTCTTGGTCGTGTTTCTCTTTTGCGTTTTGATCGTACAATCTCTCTTTATTTTCTCTAAGTTCCTATTTATCTATTATTGTTGTAATTTTTTCCCGACAGACCACAAACAATTTTTTGTTTACTTAGTCTGTACACGGTTATCGTTATCACTTTTTGTTTATCTGACGTTTCGTTTTGCGTTGCAGGGCGCGGAGTCGGCCTACACCCGGTCGGGCGCATTCGAGTGCCTCAAGTGCGCCGAGGGCTGCGAGGTGTGCGAGGACAACCGGCCGTGCGTCGTGTCGCTCAACTGGGCCATGCGCACCGCCCTGCTCGTCATCGTGTGCGTCATCATCCTGTGCCTGCCGGCCGTCGTCGTCTTCACCTGGAAGTACGGCCACGTCAAGGTGAGGCGACCCTCCTTCCGTTATGAAGTTTTTAGAAAAGTAATAATGTAAGTGCGGCGTGAAAAAATAAATCGGTATTATTTTATTCCTGTTTGCTGCTACAAATATTTTTTTTTTAACGTATGGCGAACGCGCTCCAACGCGTTTCAGGTAAAGCAATTTGCAAAGTGCTAATGTTTTTAATGGGTTTCTGAAAATGTTTCGTCCGGAGTGTTGTGCGCGAGGGCAGAGTACGCGCCCGTCCCGGAGGTGCTGATGAACTCGTTGGGGTGCGATACGATAGGCGGCGGAGCCGGAAATGAACGCTCTAGCCGCGAGCTGTGGCGTGGCGAGGCGGGGCGTCCAGGTCGCACTTCATTCCACTCTATTAATATGCATTACATATGGAAATACAACAGCTCGCGTGGCCGCTCTATCCGTCTAATCTCGCGGGCCGATGGATGGTGACGAAGAGGGGGTGAGATTGTAAACATGGCATTTTAATTAAATAACGATGTGCGTTGTTGTGTCCCTCTCTGTGTTTTGTTGTATTGCCACGGAGTTCCTTGCGCTCGGTATTGATGTGACAAACGATGTGGAAAGTATTGCAATTATAGTCTAAAATGTGTACTGAAGGAGAACAAGACCTTTTATTTTGACGAGAATAATAAAAATATACTTGAACGGGAACGCACAAAAGCGGAAAAGCGCATCAAGCATTGTTTTTAATGTCGTAGCGTGTACGTCTCTTCACCATGTTTATTATGTGGCCCGTTGCCTCGCCCGACCCCTCCGGGATGGTCAAGGGAGCCACGGTTGCGGTAGCACACCGCACTCCGGCCTTCGCGTCCCCGACCTCGGGTCGCATAATAATGTGCATACGTCCCTGGCGATGGTCGCGCCCGACCGCCGCTGGCTGCAGCTCGACTGCGCGGCGCACACCGTACTGCTCTGGCTAAAGGATGCACGGAGAAAAATATTTCCATCCGCTCACTGAATGTTTTGTCTCTTTCTCCTTACTTCTGTCCCAGCTCAAAACGACATACTATTTTGTCCTTATTGTATTGAGTTTAAGGGCTGTGCACTAATTTTTGGGGGGCTGCGATGCTGAGTTAGGCTTTTTAGCCCTTGACGTAGAGTGCAACGCAAAAGCTTCGATCTCTTTTTGTTTCTCTGTGGGGCGATCGAGGTGGCGACTGGTGTTGCAGGCGAAAGCCTCGCAACAACAAAAGCCTCGAGTGCTGTACGTTCTGCTTCGAAATTTGTCTCGAGACCCACTAGAGAAACAAAGCGTGCGGCATAATTAAAAAGAAAGGAAGCGATGAAAGGAAGAAAGGAAAGAAATGGGAAACAAACAGTTTCAGAACAGTTTGGTCGAGGACCGCTCTATGTATCGTAGCGATTGGGAGGCTGTGTGTTAAATCAAGTTGGAGTACCATTGGTTTTTGCCCAATAAATGATTTGTGACAGCCGGCGGGCCTGGGTGGGCACCATCAGTCGTGCGGCTCAACAACAAGTAGTCCGTGTAACAGGCCTCGCTTCACGCGCTCCAAAACCACACTAACTCCCCCCCCCCCTTATCTCTCTCTCTCTCTCTCTCTCTCTCTCTCTCTCTCTCTCTCTCTCTCTCTCTCTCTCTTGTCGTGATCGGTTTGATTTAATGCCTATGGATGTGGTGCCACCGCGGATCGCCGGCCCTCCAGGAGGAAGCGTCTCAGCCATAAACAGAGGCTAGGACACAGAGGTCGAGCATCACCACCAGTGTTCTCCCATGCTAATTTTTCCAGATTTTCCCTTTTTAAGCCTCCACGGTCTGGGTTTTTTGAGGACAAAGGGAAAATTTGTGAGGAAGTACCATAATTTGAGCTGCATTTGTAAAGGCACTAAACTTCTACTGCTCTCTAAAGTTACCACTTGATCACCTTTGTTTTTCCATTATGATCAAAGTTTCTCGTCTAGTTACAAATGTTTTGTAGGCTCTGAGGAAAAGTATGAAGCTTAATTGAAGCGTTTTGTCCTTGTTCCATAGCATATGCTCTGTTGTTACACCTGGCATCCGTTTATGGCTTTGCTTGTAATCTGGTGGCCTAGGGGCGCAAGGAAGGGGACAGTACGACGAGGGTGGAGCGCAGGCGGTAGGCCCAGTAGTATTGTTCGGCATTTGTAAGGGGCCTCCACTGGCGCGAGGCTCCCCTGCCTATCTCTCCCCACTCAACTCCTCCCCCCCCCCCTTCTATAGCCTTAAATATATAGTTTGCATGTCCCTGAGTAGGAGCTAAAGCTAGCTGATATCTTTAACATTACTGGGGGCACTTTCATATTTAGTGTTGGGCGTTTTAATCACATGGGAATCATCTATGCTAAAAACAGTCCAACATGAATTTGATCGTTTAGCAGAGTGTTTCGCGTCATATTACAAACTACCCCCCTCCCCAACCCTTTATAGATTTGGACGGCACGCGCTCATTAGGTCATCCTCAGGACCCGCCTTTGGGGGGACCTAAATTAAAGACCCCCCAGCTCGCGGCTCGAGGAGACTTCAGAGCAGGGGATCGCTTGCCTTTGTTGGACCTCAAGCTGGGCCAAGATTCTCTCCCCCTCCCCACCAACGTCCCCTTTCGCCCCACTAACCTCAACAATCTCTCTGCTCTCGCACACAATCGCAAACAATGTCGTCGTATTATTACTCCAACAATGCGTCTCCCTTTCAAATTTGCTGTATATATGAACAACTCTCACTGCTGCTGCTGCTGTTTGTTTTTCTTGGTAGAAATGGACTACCGGGACGTAGGGCGTGAGTAGAGTTAGTCCCCAACAGCAAACGGTAAAAAGAAGGAAGACTCTTGCTATGTGGGGCGGTTCTTACATTGCAGTTTTAATTACGTTTTCTTTATGAAAAATTTCATGGAAAGGAACGTTGTTGGATTTGGTTTCTTTATTTTCCGACTCCTCTTTTCAGGCCGTTTGGTATGGCACTGATACTCGTATGCGCCTCCTCATTTATTTGCAGCTGCGGCCACCAGCAGAAAGCGAGAGAGAGAGAGAGAGAGAGAGAGAGAGAGAGAGAGAGAGA